TCTATAAAGAAGTACAATATTTCTCAGGGAACGCATACGTGGCTAGCCATTCTACGTTATGCCGCGTCGTGGTAAAGGGTGGTGTCCTGCGTCGACCGAGCTCATGCTCGACAAGATAGAGCTGTTCCTCCCAGCAGGACGCAATGGTTGGGCAAAGGTAGCTGATGCCTACAACCCTGATGGAAAGGCGTTCCCAAAACGAGACATCGACTCGCTCCGTCGCAAGTTCGCAACACTCAAAAACCATGCCAAACCCACTGGCCACCCCGAGTGCCCCCCCGACGTACGCCGGGCGAAGCACATCAGTCGTGATATCGACAACAACGTTGGTGTGTGCTCGATGAAGGACGAGGACGCTGATGAAGAAGTCGATGACGCCGTGGATGAACGTTTCGACGTCGCTGAGTGTGACGTCTCCCTGCACGAGGATTATCAGCTAAGTACGAGTGCTCATATACGTGATTGATTGATATTTGTCATAGACGACAAGCCGAATCGAACGGGATTGCCCAGGAACGAGCTTATCGAGCTTGGAAAGGATTTGAAACGGCAGCGCGCGACTGAGAGTAGTGGCATGTTTTCTAATGTCGCGAGATAGCGCCAGTCGTTGGACAAGTTCATTGCTGGAGCTGTGGAGGCTGACGCTAAGTCGTCGTCAGATTTCATGTCTATGATGATGATCATGGAAGCGCGTTCCACTGAGCGAGAAGAACAACGTCACATAAGAGAAATGGAATGGCGTGCCGAGGAGCGCGTCCGCCAAGTCCGCCGCGACGAGTTGCACATGATGTTGATGGCCAAGCTCTTTGATAGCAAGCACAAGTAACTCAAAATTATTTCGAGTTGCATATTTTTTAGAATATTCGTCCTATATGATCTCTATTTAGTACCATGTCACCTATGTTTAGTTTGTTCTAGGAGTTATTTAGGTAATTCGGAATCATAATCCTGAATGAAATTTAATTTCGGATTAATTGTTCCAAAGAAAAAAATCGCAGTGGAAATCGCCGATTTGGGTTAAATTTTGCAATAAAAATGTACTTGCCTTGAAGGTGTTCAATTAAGCCTGTTTAGGACTTTTTTTGAGGAGTTAAAAGTACTTAAGTACTATTTTACAATCCAAAGACATTCTTTATCTGGCTTATCCCTGTACGGCGGATACGGAAGTTGTACAACTTAAACATACTCTCATGTCGCATAGCACGGAGTGATGGGTTATATGCCAGGGGCATGAGCAGTTGACGGTACACTTTGCTGACAGCACCCATGCCCCATTCCGCAGCTTGGCGCAACGACGTAATGCAGTCACACATGACTTTCAGGCCAAGTCGGCACGCTGGAAGTTGCCGTTCGAGGTCCCCTTTCTTCAGCGGGGTCACAATGCGGCCAGTACACCTGCCACTGACCGGAAATGCAGAGTCGGACGCAACCTTCATGCCAACATCGGTCTTCGCCGGGTCTGCGAGGATCTCTTGCAACCTCCGGCTCATTTCACCATTTATTCCATGAGCCGGGGCAGTTCTGTCTGCCCCACACCAATGTGCCGTCGAGCCCGAAGCAGAGGACACCGGTGACGAACACGCTGTGTAACCATCCTAGACCATCGTTAAGCTTAGATATAGAAGCACACAGCATCAGCTACCGTTGCACATTGCATTCTGCAAATCGGTTGACGATGGTTCCTGCACGCGTAAGTTCTCAGATAGTAGATAGCCAGCCATATCCACGGTACATCATTAGGATGTCGTGTCCTGATTGGCTAGCCATTAGCTAGTCCGTCTAGCCTTTAGAGCCAGTTGTTCTCACTGGTAGCTAAGTTAATTCACTTTCCGTTTCACCCGCAACCACCCAG